CGAAATTGGTGCTAATAATTCTAAGGGTATTTTGATAATTTTCATTTCTTTATATTCGATCCGATTCAATCGAATATCATTTCACTTCTTTGTTTACTACTATTATAACATTAATCTAACAAAATAATACTAGAATTTTTAAATGTATCGAACCATCCATAGTGGAATGGTTGAACCTAACAATTTTTGTGTACGATAAACTTCAATGAGGTAAATTATGCATGCGACTTCTAATGTGAGTGAGTTTCATTCACGTTGTACATTGAAATGAGTGATTTTTTTTGATGTGATTGTGCATATTTAGCCCCTGTTTGGTACACATTCTTTCAAAATACGTTTTTTCAAAACTCATTTTCAACCACACATTCATCAATAAAATAATATTTTCCATCACATCAATAATATTTCTTTACTTTGTAACCACACATTTCTCATCATATCACTATTTAAAATACATTATTTCCTTAATAATATCCATCAAACACACCTTTAATTGATTGTATGTGGACTGAATTCTTAAATTTATTTGAACTACTCTTGTGAAGTTCTTGTGTTTAGAAGAGTTAGTTTCTTTGTGACCTAGTTTATTTTGTGTGACTTGTAAGAATTTGTAAACATGTTACATACAATGTAAAGGTGCCACCAATCGTAATGACGTGATGTTCTTGAGACAAAGAAATTAGATGGTTTATGTTGTGATGTTGTGAACCTTAGTTGCGTTGTTGTGATCCGGTGCCAAATTGAGGACTACGATTCTAGAGTAAATTTTCATTTTTCTTATAGTAAATTTTATATTCACGATTAGTTGTTGCAACGTGACATGGTTAATCATTTCAAAGAACAATTTAAACTAGGATTGTGACCTCTAATCAATTTTGAGGGTTTGATGAGAGGTTTTCCATTTAGGCATCCGTTAAGTTAAATAAATGCCTAACCTAATTTTTCCCAAAATGGGAGTACAAACCTTTCAACCAACGCCCAAATTAATTTCAATATTGATGAAATGTGTAGTTAAAAAGATTTTTTTTTATTAACTTTTTTAGCTAAACCGAGGACTTAAGCATGAATGTGATAAAATTGAAACTAATGTTATTATTTGTTTAGAATGGAAACCTTAAAATCACAAAATAAGTCAAATGGGCAGTTTTGTCATTACACAATCACAATAATGTTGCGCATGAATGCCACCCCAAAGCTCTGAATATGATGGAATGTTTCTTATATATATAGTAGCCTATCAGCGGCCAAGAAATTGCACAGCTCCGTTAGGCATAATTTAAATACTTCAAAACCAGTCATATATTCACCGGCGCCGGAGCAATATGGCTAAGATTGCCTTGGGAAATACACGAGAGGCCTTTCAATCGGACTGCATCCAGGCCCTTATTGTGGAATTCATTTGCACGTTTCTTTTCGTGTTCGCGGGGGTCGGCGCTGCCATGGCTACCGGTAATGAGTTGAGATTCCTCATTTGAATTCTATTTTCAACTACATGCCTTTGACATAGTTTTAACTTTTTAACAGATAAGCTGAATGGGGATCCGTTGGTGGGACTATTTTTTGTGGCTATGGCACATGCGTTGGTGGTGGCGGTGATGATTTCAGCAGGATTCCGCATTTCCGGTGGCCACTTAAACCCTGCTGTCACCCTCGGCCTATTAGCCGGCGGCCATATCACCGTCGTCAGATCAATCCTCTACTGGATTGATCAGTTATTGGCTTCTACAGCAGCTTGTGCGCTGCTCAAGTACCTCACTGGTGGATTGGTTAGTACATCTTTGCTTTTACAAATGCACTCAGTTTTGTCCTATAAAATGCATAATCCTTAAAAAATATAGCTGAAAAACTACCTAGCAAAATATAGTTTCATTCACTTCGGCTTAGTCTAGGTAAATAAAGTTACATAGAGCGCTGGTTTTTCGATGATTTCTTGTTGTTTCTTAGCTAGTTAGTTGTGTCATGTGGACGATCTTTTAACATTGTTGATAGCCTATCGCGACTCTTTATTCATGGTAATTCTAAAAAAAACTTAAAACTATTATATTCTAACATGGAATCTTGTGATTTCTTGATTCTTGCAGACTATACCAGTACATACACTTGCAACTGGGGTGGATTTCATCCAAGGGGTTATAATGGAAATTGTATTGACATTTTCATTGTTATTCACTGTTTATACTACAATTGTGGACCCCAAGAAGGGGTTCCTCGAAGGGATGGGCCCACTTCTTACTGGGCTTGTTGTTGGGGCCAACGTCATGGCTGGTGGGCCATTCTCAGGGGCTTCAATGAACCCTGCAAGATCCTTCGGGCCTGCTTTGGTCAGTGGTGATTGGACTGATCACTGGGTTTACTGGGTTGGACCGCTCATTGGAGGTGGGCTTGCTGGATATATCTATGAGAACTTCTTCATTGTCAGATCTCATGTTCCACTGTCAGGAGAGGAAGTTTTTTAATTTTGGCCACACCAATAAACATATCGAGTTCTCTGTTGTTAATCTGTTGTTAATTTTACTAAATAATCGAGTATTGTTGATGTTATCATGTACGCGTCCAAATTCAAAGATTTACTCTCGTTACGCACAAGAGCATGAAAAATAAAAGAGAAATATCAAAGTTCGATCCAACTAACATCTAAGGGTTAATATGCGTTTTATGCGAAATTTAAATTTACCAATGTTTAAAGCAACAAGTCATTATAAAATATTTAATCCAGATGAATTCACATGCAAATCTAACCTAAATATTGAATTACCGCGTTTGTAATTTGCAAAAAATAAATAACACCAAAAAATTGATCACAGAAAAAAACCCCTTTCGAGATCAAAAAATTCTGAGCACACTGTCAATAAAATATACTATAAAAGAATTAACTTATAGCACGGTCTAAACTCGACTAACTCTTGGTACTCTCTGACCTTTTGACTATAATCACCAAGGCACTCCTTAGACTGCGTGCTCATCATGCCATCTGAAATCATTTATCTCATGTGGATCATCGAAAACTCCTTCGTTCTCCTCCAACTAGAACTTCGGTCACCTTCCTGAGTCTTTAGCACTTTGACAAATATTTAGGAAGTGGGTGGTTTGATGTTTTGAGAATTTGGATTTTGATGTTTTCAATGTGTTGTTGAAGAATTTCAATGTAAGGAATTGATGTAGAATCTCCAACAGATGAATTCTAGGAAGAATATAATGATCAACCACACCTATGAACGAAATATGACCTGAGAGTAAATATACTAGAAGGTTTTTGGGGGTTTAGGACACAAAAAGTGTTTAAAAGCGAACTAAGATTTTTTCGGAAGTTGCCGACGCTTGAGCGAAAAACCCAGCTCTAGGCTAGCATCGGGTGATGCTCGAGCGAAATGTCTAGCGCCAGGCTACTGAAACCGTTATTGCTTTGGACGCTCAAGTATTGTCTTGGAATTGAGCTAGCATTAATGTGGTAACGTTTTTTCCTTCTTTCATATTCGAACCCTAAGACTCCTAATTGACCTATACAACTTCTCTATTGATTCTTTGATTTTTACAACTCATTTATATTTTTAATTTCTCTTCTATATAATAAGTGTGTAT